ATAGTGACAAAAAGGCTACATTAATAAGAGTTGACAGGTGCTTCTCTGCATTCTCCAGGGTTATTATTACTCCATTTGGCTGTCCACTCTCAAAAATGGATTCTAATCTTTCTTTCTTTCTCCACTAGTTTCCTTCTCTTAACCAACACTTTTTTTTAAAAAAAATCTCTAATATTCATATTAAAGTTCGATTATATTTGAATTTATGTTGTGTAGGACACCATTCAGAAGAAGTGCTCCCACTAAGGACTTTTCGTATCTAGGACTCAAATTGAGACCTTTGATTAAGGAAGGAACAGTTTCAACTAACACTTACAATGTTGTTTTGTACTTTCTCCATTTCAAATTAATTGAATTGTTGAGATATTTTTCATTTTTCAAATTACTTAACTTAATTGTTCAATTTTTAAGACTATTTTTAGAATGTTCTTTCAATTTTACCCTTCATTAGTTAGTATTGAAATTAGTTTTTAATTAGTGTTAAGTTATTTTAATCATAAATTTGATACTCCCTCCATTTCATATTAAGTTAATTTTTGAGATGTTTCACACCCATTAACAAAAGTAGATTAAGACATAAATTAAACCTAGTTTTCCATTTTTATCCTTATCAATTATTGTCAAATTTATGATTAAAATAACTAAATATTAATTAATCACTAATTTCAATACTAACTAATAAAGGGTAAAATTAGAAGAACACTCTAAAAGTAGTTTTAAAAACTGAACAATTAAGTTAATTTGAAAAATGAAAAATGTCTCAAAAATTAACTTAATATGGAATGGAGGGAGTAATAATTAATAAGGGTAAAAAAGAAAGTTATGCCTAATTTATATCTTAATCTTCTTCTTTTAGGGTGTGTTTGGTATGAAGGAAAACATTTTCCGGAAAATGTTTTCCTTCATACCAAACACACCCTAAAAAGAAGAAGATTAAGATATAAATTAGGCATAACTTTCTTTTTACCCTTATTAATTATTACTCCTCCATTCCATATTAAGTTAATTTTTGAGATGTTTCACACCCATTAACAAAAGTAGATTAAGACATAAATTAAACCTAGTTTTCCATTTTTATCCTTATCAATTATTGTCAAATTTATGATTAAAATAACTAAATATTAATTAAATCACTAATTTCAATACTAACTAATAAAGGGGTAAAATTAGAAGAACACTCTAAAAGTAGTTTTAAAAACTGAACAATTAAGTTAATTTGAAAAATGAAAAAATGTCTCAAAATTAACTTAATATGGAATGGAGGGAGTAATAATTAATAAGGGTAAAAAAGAAAGTTATGCCTAATTTATATCTTAATCTTCTTCTTTTTAGGGTGTGTTTGGTATGAAGGAAAACATTTTCCGGAAAATGTTTTCCTTCATACCAAACACACCCTAAAAGAAGAAGATTAAGATATAAATTAGGCATAACTTTCTTTTTTACCCTTATTAATTATTACTCCCTCCATTCCATATTAAGTTAATTTTTGAGACATTTTTCATTTTTCAAATTAACTTAATTGTTCAGTTTTTAAAACTACTTTTAGAGTGTTCTTCTAATTTTACCCCTTTATTAGTTAGTATTGAAATTAGTGATTTAATTAATATTTAGTTATTTTAATCATAAATTTGATACTCCCTCCATTTCATATTAAGTTAATTTTTGAGATGTTTCACACCCATTAACAAAAGTAGATTAAGACATAAATTAAACCTAGTTTTCCATTTTTATCCTTATCAATTATTGTCAAATTTATGATTAAAATAACTTAACACTAATTAAAAACTAATTTCAATACTAACTAATAAAGGGGTAAAATTAGAAGAACACTCTAAAAGTAGTTTTAAAAACTGAACAATTAAGTTAATTTGAAAAATGAAAAAATGTCTCAAAATTAACTTAATATGGAATGGAGGAGTAATAATTAATAAGGGTAAAAAGAAAGTTATGCCTAATTTATATCTTAATCTTCTTCTTTTTAGGGTGTGTTTGGTATGAAGGAAAACATTTTCCGGAAAATGTTTTCCTTCATACCAAACACACCCTTAAAGAGTGAAACACCTCAAAAATTCAATTAATTTGAAATGAAGGGAGTAACTTTCTTTCATAAAATAGATTACATGACCTAGTAGGAAAAGCAAATCGTCTAACTTTTTCATCTATGTGGTAGAAGCAGGCTAGCATGGAATTAGAACGACGCAATATAATTGGAGTTTTGATAGTTCGTTTGGCCAATTTTTTTTGACAATTTGTTAAAATTGGTTGTTCTTTTCTCAAAAGAAGAGAGGAAAAGTCACTATTGTTTATTTATTTATGATGTTGAGTTGTTTAATTTAAGTGAAAGTATAGTCAAAAATTGAAAATCATAGTGAAAGTATAACAAACAAACAAAAAATAGTGACAAAAATACTAAAGCACATGGACACCTTTGAATTATGATGATTCCACCTTTTTATGCTAACAACAGATGAATTCATGAATATTGATGCTACAGATTGTAAAAAAGGAAACTAATTTGATAATGAGTAGGCTAATTTTGTCATTATTATTAATTACTTCATGACATATATGCTAGACATTCAAATTTGGCATAAATAAGTTGAAAAATATGCAGATATTCACGCTCAAAGTGAAAGTGTTTACTCGTTATTCTTACTTTTTATTTTCATTAATCTTAATAGTTGGACATAATATATTTTTGGCCAAACACATATATAGACCCTTAAACTTGTTCCTAAATTTTATTTGGGCACTCCAACTCAACCTTGTTTCATTTTAACACTTCGACTCCAATTTTTATGCTCTATTTTGGCACTTCTAAGTGATGTGGCAAGTGTGTGCATCACACTTTCTCTAAGAGAGTGAAAGACAAAAAAAAAAAAAAAAAAAAGATTACCCTTCAATTCTATTTTTTTATGTACCATTTAACACAAAATCCTAATTTTAAAAATCGACGTTCATCCGTTATTTATTGTCAAAAATTAAAATTGACGGATGATCATTGATTTTATTTTTTTAAAGTAACAATTTCTTTTTAAGAGTTTCCCTATATTTTTGCGTGAAAAATTACCGACGAAAGTGAGTCAATTTTCTTTCTTAAGAATATCAATGACAACCCAACGAAGTCTATCGAGTTTCAACATTTTTTTGTAATGTTATTAATTAGCAATGAACATGAGTTTTTTTTTACTCGTATTTAGTTGAATGAAAAATTAGAAAGCTGATATTTGAGTTAGTCCAAATAGACTAGATATGAATAAAAAAATGTGGTGTTATTTAATTTTATTAATTGTTTAAAAAAGAAAACCAACACACTTTCGTCGATTATTTTTTCATATAATAATGTAAAGAAACTCTAAAAAAAAAATTAAAAAAGTTCATCCATTATTATTATTATTATTATTATTATTTTAAAAAAAAAGATATTGACGTTGATTTTTAAAATGAAAAAGTGAAAATGAAGAACATAAATGAAAATAAAGAAATCATAAATTTAATATTTTGTATTTAAATGTTACTATAAAATTAGAGTTGAAGGATTAAAATGGAACAAGCTAAGTTAGCATAACAAAATAAAAAATAAGGGCAAGTTAGGAGTAATTTCCCTAGATAGTCACCCATATTTTGGAAAAAATAAAAATAAAATAATATTTCAATGCCAAGTGTCAATTAAAGAAGAAAAAGTGTAAGTTTTTTTGGAAAAAATAAAAATAAAACAATATTTCAAAAACTTTCACGCACCCATAGGAAGTGAAAAACACTTCTTTTGTCGTATCAACATTTTGTGTTTAATAGGTCCATTTTTTGAACAATTTAAGCGTTCAATAGGTAATAGTCCTAATTAAGGTGTCTAAATGAAATATGCAGAAAACTTTAAGAGGTCGTGGATGACTTAAGACTTTGTGTCATGTCATGGCATGTAAAATACACACATCCCATTTTGTTGATTCTTTGGAAAGAAGTGTCAAAATGGAACATAAGAATTAGAGTTGAAGGGTTAAAATGAAACAAGGTTGAGTTGAAGTGTCAAAATGAAATTTAGGAACAAATTTAAGGTCTGAATATGTGTTTGACCTATATTTTTATATCAAAAACCAATTGAGCAAGAGCCATTTTGGCCCTTTTTACATGTTGTCAAAATGCCTACACATGTTTTTCCAATGATATTTTTTCCGCCTAAAACTGTCATATATTAATCCATTATAGACATAATATATCCAAAGGATCGTTCAACATCATTTACCATCCAACTTGGAAATAGTCTTTCCCAAAAAAAATAAAAATCAGACAACAAAGAAATTAAAAAATTAACTACAGTATGAGCTACAACATTAAATCTTCTATGATAATAAATCTTAAAATGTCATCCAACTTTGAGGATTCATCTTATAAAGTCATTAAACTTTGTTTTGTATCAATAAAATCACTCAACTTTGAGTTTTTTTTTTATAAAATCACTCAATTAAATTTATTATAAGAAAATTACTTAACATGATAAAACTTTTTTGCTTGAGTTTGAGTTTGACTTTTCCTCTTTTCTCTCTTCCATAAATAAAAACTTTACTCAAATATCTCTTTTTTATTTTTGGTAAATAGAGAGATTTTATACATACTAAACAGTTACTATATTCACTTGCATAATATTAATGATTTCGAACTTAATTGGATTATTACAAATCAAAGAGGAGATTATGTTTAGACTATAATTTCCTTCTTTAGCTGCTGCCTGCTAGTAGACTTGAGAGAAACCTTGTTGGAGGATTCTTCATGAAGACGTTTATTGAGTGATTTTATAAAAGCAAAACTCAAAGTTGAGTATTTTTTAAATACAAAACAAAATTGAATGACTTTACAAGAGAACTCCTCAAAATTGAATGATCTTTTTAGATATATTTACTTGATAATATACAAACACGATAGCCGACTAGGTAGTTGTACTTCATAAAAGGATATAAAGTTTACTACATTATTTTTTAATGTAAGTTGTTTTTAATATTTGACCAACAGTTTTACCAGTTGAAATGAAATTGGTTGATAAACAAGTTCACTCTTGAAACAAAAACTCAGTTCATATGTCTTGTTAACCCAAGTTGGTACGTTTTTAAGGTGACTTTATGAAGAAATAGTACAAACTCACCGCCAAAGTGTCAAGTAGATTATTGTACTTACCACTCCGACATGACAACACAAACAATTTTCTCTTATCAAGATTGCTCCCTAGTTAATGGTACTACTACTACTAGAAAGAAATAGTAATAGTTCAACATAAAAAGAGTACATTCCCAACTCTTTGTTCTCTATATATTTTTTTTCAAGAATCCAATTATGTGGTCATCAAGCAGGTCTTCTTCATCTTCATCTTCATCTCATTCCCCATTTTCTCCAAGACTCAAAACAATGGAAGAAGTGTGGAAAGATATTAATCTTTCTTCACTTCAAGATCACACTACTAATTACTCTAAAGATCATCAACATCATCTTCATGATCATAATCATCAAGGTGCTAATTTTGGTGGAATGATTTTACAAGAATTTTTGGCTAGGCCTTTTGCTAATGAATCTTCACCAGCAGCAGCAGCCTCCCCTGTTTCAGCTACAACTATGCTGAATTTGAACTCTGTTCCAGAGCTTCATTTCTTTGATAACCCTTTAAGGCAAAACTCAATCTTGCACCAACCAAATGTTAGTGGAAGAAAAAGGGTTGTACCTGAAACAGAGGACAATTCTACAGGGGACAGAAGAAATCAGAGGATGATCAAGAACAGAGAGTCTGCTTCTAGATCAAGAGCTAGAAAGCAGGAAAGTGACACTCTCTTTATCTTAATCATCATTTGTTCTTTTCTGTTGTCCTGTCGATTTTTAGCAATAAATTATGTTTTTTTATAAAAACACAACAGATAAACTATGTTGCTTCAATATGCTGATTTTCTCTGTTTTCTTTTTTGGCCATTGATGATTTTTGCAGGCCTATTTGAATGAGTTGGAGACGGAAGTGGCACATTTAGTTGAAGAAAATGCAAGGCTCAAGAAGCAGCAGCAACAGGTCCTTTTATCTTTTATTACACCATGTTTTAAATTCTGTTTATAACTAATGACTTTCTTTAATTAGAACAAACAAATAAATGACTCAGAATTGATTGGTGTTTTTCTTAATTTGGACAGTTACGCTTAGCTGCAGCTATTCAAGTTCCAAAAAAGAACTCTCTTCATCGGACGTCAACCGCTCCATTTTGAGAAAAGAAAGGCCTCTTATTATAATTTGTCGTTAGAGTATTAAGAAGGGAAAAATAGAAAGACGGTTTAGTCTTTTATGGCAATGAAAACAATCACCAGCAAACAAGCTGGAATTCGTATTTCTGTATCTATTCATTTGTTCCATCCATCCCTTTCTATCTAAATTTGGCTGGCATGTTATTTGTGACTTGTCATTTGAATAGACTTATTTTAAATAATTTTAAGCTAAAATAGCTTTTAATCAGTTTTATATTGTTTGTTTTTGTTTGGGTAAGCACTTGTTTAAAGTTGAAATAACAAAAAAAAAAAGTAATCAAAAGCCCTAAATCAATCCAAACAGGTATTCTTTTTCTTTCTTTTAAAGAAAATTAATTTGAGTAATTGGTCCTCATTTTATAATCTCACAAGTTTAAATAAAATATATTTAAATTATAAGTTAATTTATGTAGGGATATAAAAAGAAAATAACAAAAAATTTGAGTAATTAGTTCTTATATTATTAATATCTCTATAATTAGGGGTGTGCATTCGGTTTTTCAGTTTGGTTTTACATTATTTGGTTTGGATTTTTGGTTTTTAGTTTTGTAAAAGTGTAACCCAATCCAATCCAAAATAAATTTGGTTTGGTTTGATTTTCCTCTATTCGGTTCGGCTTTTTTCGGTTTGGTTATTCGGTTATGTCAATAATTAATAACATATATAACCAAAGTAATAATATTTAATCCCTTAAATGTTCTTTCTAATATAAATCGTAAGTAAAACTTAAAACACAATACTTATAAGTATACCTACTATAGATGTAATTCAAACATAAAATATAAACGTAATCATCATGAAAGGCAATAACCAAAAAGTAACAAAAGTGGTTAACTTATATATATATATATATATATATAATTCGGGTTTTTTTTCGGTTTTCCGGTTTTTATTTTTTAAAATTCGAAACCAAACCAAAAAATCAAACAAAATAATTTATTAATCCAAAACCAATCCAAATAAAAATTCGGTTTGATTTGATTTGGTTATTCGATTTAATCTGAATAGTGCACACCCCTATCTATAACTCTAATCAATAATCAAATGATTTGTTATAAATGGTACATAGATAATATGATTTCACATTTTCACCCCCTTTCGCAAAATACAATTTTCTAGCAAAGAAGTTTTAATTGAACCCTTCTCATCCCTTCGCTAACACACTATTAAAAAAATCACTATTGTTATGAAACCCTCATTGATAAATGTTTAGTGACTATTTCAGATGATTGAAATAGTAGAAAAGAAAAAATATTAATGACACTTTTCTGTATTTTAATGAAAATTTGTTTATCACTATACATTTTTTTAGCAAACTAGTCTGATGGTAATGAAGTGAAAAAGAATCAAATTTAATAACATAAATTTTTTATTAATTCATGATGGAAAAACCTTTATTTCTTGTAGTAATAATGGTGGTTACCTCCAAAATGTGATTTCGTTGAATAGAAAATTTCAAGGTAAAAAAGGTTTTGGTCAAGATGAATGATATTTTTCCCTAATAAGTAAACCCTACATTATGGGAATTAAGAATAATTTGGACAAGTGAATTTTGGATATTAAATGAATGAGAAAAAAGTAAAGTGAGTGGTTGGGAGAAGGTGAGGCCTCGTGTAACGTGGTACTGTCTTTTATTGCAATTTGTTAATATGTTGGGCTGGAATAAGGAGTATGTGTAGTAGCGCATCATACAGTCCAAAGTTTGGAATCATAGGTTATTTGGGGTAGAAATTGCTTCTCTTGGTTCCTATCACTTTCATTTATTTATTTATTTATTTTTCTGTTGTGCCATCACTGTCACTAATTTAGCCCAATGTTTTGCTAGGAATATTTATTTCTTTCTTCGTCCATATTATTAGTACTTATGTTAGTTGATGGTGATGCTTGATGCTCTTTTTGCTGCATTTTGACGTATTACTTTCAACAAAGAATGATGGTCTTGTTGTATACGTGAAATTGGACATTTATTCACAATCCTTGCCATAACAATATATTCAGTAAAATTCACCATGTAGAGTTTGGAGAGAGTAAATTAAAGTATATGCAAATGTCTCGAAAAAGTAGAGAGAGTTGTTTTCGAAAGACTCGGCTCAAGTGCATCATGAAGAAACAATGATTTAGATTTTTACCAGTCCTTACTGTGTAGTAATTCCAATATGAAATTTGGGATTCAATTTGTTTACACAAACTTAAAGCATTCGTGTTGGAATTCACTATCAAAATTTAAAAGTTCGAATTTTAAATTTTCAACTATATATGTTACGTAAATTGGGACAGAGTGACTGTAATCTTAGAAATAACCTTACTTCGAAGTAAACGATACATGACGTAAGAGAAAACACAGAAAGAGTGGAGTCATTTTCAAGGGCCATAGAGTCATCCTCATCCATGTCTATTGGAACCTTAGCCAATTGTGGTCAACAGATGTAAATGTGGGCCAATTGTCTTTTTTTCACTATATAATTGAATGTGAATCTGCTCTTTCTTTTTCTCTTTTGTTGCATCAATTATATACTACAACACAAGTTTTGTTTGGAACAATTGAAGTTAAAATGTATGGGTCCAGTTAGAGCTGTCAAAAAGGGTCGTCCCAGCTCCATCCGATCCAAATCTCGCGGGACAAGAAATTTGAAGGGCTAGGGCGGGCTGACCCTTCATTTGATAGGGCCTAAAAATGCTCAACCCAACCCAACCCTAGAAGGGCCGAGGGCTGGGGCGGGCTAGCCCTTTTTTGTTTCTTTCAAACTTCTAATTCTATAACATCAAGAAAATGAGAAGATTTTCAAATCAAATATGGCAAATAGTGGTGTTGTTTCAATAACACTAGCAAAAATTTAGTGCAATTAGCATGTATCTCGCATACCAGATATGCGAGTGAGATAAGAGAGTGACAAGCAAGATGGGAGGGAGGCGAGGGTGTGAGATTTGTATATGTATCCTAGATACATGCGAATCTACTTTGATAGAGTGTATCTAGAACGAATTAACCTAATTTTAAGTCCATATATTCCGAGATACTTGTATCTGGGTATGAAGATTCATAATATTACAACATAGCGTGTATTCAAATTATTAGATTTTATACTAATGAGATTATTGTAAATTATTGTTGAATAAAAAGTTGTGGCCCATGGGCCGACCCCGGCCCAGCCCCGATCAAGCCTCAAGGGCCAAGGGCTTATATGGACCGGGATTATAAGCCCTAGTTTTAAATGGGCTTGAAAAATTATATCTCAACCCTACCCCAATAACGGGTAGGGTTGGGCCGACCCCATGGACTAAGCCCATTTTGACGGTTCTAGGTCCAGTCAAGTCAATCGATTGTACCATGTTTAAGTTGGAGATCAATATATTGCATTATAGTGGAAAGTAAAGTGACAAAAAAAAGTTGAAAAGTGTCTATAGGGAAATTATTACTACTCCAATTCAATATATTTCAATTAATAAACTACATATGAACTAGGCAAAGTATTCCTTTACAAAAGTGTATGTTTTGTTTGATTCAAGAGAATTTAGTAGATTTTAAATTCATGTGAACTTCATATATAGGTTTAAATTCAATTATTTTGACGTACAAATCAAAATCAGAAATCAATCGATTGGTGTATGGTTCAGTTACAACTCTTATCTTCAATACTTTGTGAATAAGTTTTAACTGATGTTATTCTGTGTGTTAATTGGTTACCAAGAATCTAGTGTGTAACAAAAAAAAAGACAGTGTTTGTTTAAGTAACATATTCTCAACATATATAACATCAAATTCCGTTATCGTCCAGCGGTTAGGATATCTGGCTTTCACCCAGGAGACCCGGGTTCGATTCCCGGTAACGGAACTTTTTTTTTTGTTTTCGCTGTTCATATGGAAAAATTAATTAAAATGGTATCAAAAGGTGTACAACGAAAACTAGAAATCAATGCACCCCAAACAAGAGCTGATACAGCATGATCGCGATTATAAGTGTCCTATTTAGTTTAGGGACTAGGCCTGTTGAGGAAGGAACTGAGATGATTCATATGGAGAACTAGAGAAAGCATTTGTGACTTCTCTTTTATGATTCCAATGTTTCGTGACCAAATATAGTGACTAGGCAATGCTTCGCACTGCTACATTATCAACATGTTATTACTATATTTTACAGTTGATCAAAAGCCAGCAACATGAAAAGACGAAAACCATATAACCATCTCCTCTGTTAAATCCTCTGTTATTAAACACAACTTCTTTCCATCTTCCATCGAAAACCTACAAACAGGACACGTTCTCCCTGCACCATCTAACCACCTATCGACACATTCGCGATGAAATTCATGTAAACAAGGCAACACTCTACTATCTTCTCCATCCTTCAATCTTGATAAGCACACACAACACTTTTCACCAGCCACTTCATGATGAACTCTTGATTTATTCTGATTATTATTACTGGCTTCAATCACCTTTAACATCAACACATCCTTGAAAGTACAAATTGAGATAAGCAATTTCTTGAAAGCCATTTTGGGTTTAGAAGAAGAGTGATGAAACATTTTAATGTGGGATTTGATTTTATTATAGGAGAAAGGTCAAGGAAATAGTGGTTGTTATGTTAATTTGCGTGGGTTGGAAGGGTGGTTAGATTATTTTTTTTTGTTTTCAACAAAGGAGTAGCACCAACAAAGAGTGCAACTTCTAACCATTATTTTATGGCATGCAACTGTTGAGTTCTAACTTTTTAAACTTATTTATTTAAGTCATGTGTATCACATAAATGTATTCTTTGAGTTCCTAAAATTGTCTATTCTTACTTGGAAATTATGAATTGATAATGTTGCTTGAACTGTCACACTTGTATTCATATTTTTAGACATGCGAAAAGTCTTTCCGGACTATATGGATTATTTTTTTCGTTAGAAGTCTTTTATACATATTTCTCACCAAACCTTAGTAGCAGTTAATTAGAAGCATTAAAATTTTGCTGTTGCTTGAAAACGACATCTTCACTGTTTCATCCTTTCTCTTCTTCCCATCCCGTTTTGGGATCTGACTAATCTAAATTCAGTTCCACTTTGATACATACATGACGCTCTTTGTTCTTTGTTAAGACGACTTCATTTTCAGGACTTGAATCCGTAATTTCTAGTTAAGGATGAAA